GATATAAGAATCAATACAAATTAATACTTGTAGGTACCTAATTTTTTTCTTCAAGCTCTAAGAAATATAGTTAGTCACATTCATGTCAAAATTAATTAATAACAAACATAGGGCATTAATTTTGAGACAGTCAGCTTGAAAGAGATAACTCATTGCAAAAACTTGAAAATAGCAGATTTTGACAGATTAAATCCATTTTGCAACTTAAAAGTACATCAAAAATTGTAACAAACTTTATTAAATATAAAACCAGGATGACATAGAACTAGTGATCTGTCCTTCATTTTGTAGCAAGCATCTTCTAGTTAGTGATGAAAACATTTAAAGTAATTTTAGCTGTCCATCTATTTAGTATTTGGAACCCGTAAAACATAAAGTGGTGGTATATCAGGAAAAAGAAAATGAAATGGATACTAAACTTATTGAAACATTTAGGTACCAAAACATTATTATTATATAATTGCCTGTAATATAAATATACATTGGGATGTAGAAAAGCAGCTGCAACTTGGTACTGCAAAAGTAAAAATTTGCCAAGGAGATATAACAACTGGAGCATTCAATATATTGAAGTAAGACATTCAATATTATATAGGCGGTAGCCTATATGTAGGATTGAGGTTGATTTTTCAAGATGGCGGCCGTTTTTATGATTTTCAAACACTCATAACCATTTTATCTTACGTTGTACAGCCTTATAAATGGCTTAAATCAGCTCTCCTTCACTGAGCGATTCTCCTGGTACCTTTAGAGTGGACTGTAATGTAGTGGGAGCATTTCTGGAGAATAGGCCCAAATTCAAATTTCTGGCAAAATTCTTCAGACTTTTTCTTCTTCTTTCATCTTCTTCTATCAACACGGAAATCTTTTAAGCCAGAGAGCCGCTCAAGTTGGCTTTTACATCATTCCTTTGAGCTTGGGTCAAGGACTGGACATGTGGCTTCAAAAAGAAGCAAGGACAGAGAACAATGGAAGACAAATTCCAGCTGCAGCACCGCGTGGGTTTGTGGTTTGACGCCATTTTAATTTATGCGCACGTGATTAGCATGAATATGATTAACCTAACCACATAATCATAACAGAAAGTAATTTTATTAATAATTTAAGAAAAAAGAATGGAAACAAGTAAATAACTTTAATGACTCTTGTTATTATCAATTTATTACTAAAGCATGAAAATGGGAAGGACATCAATACAGAAATATGCAGAGTAAGTTTAATTAATATATTACGTGCCAAGGATAATTATGTGATTCCTTTAAATACAGCATATGTATAGTCTAGTTAAGGATAGCGAAATACTAGTATCAGTAATATCAAATTAATGTTTTAATTAAGAAACAGGGTGAAAATTTCAATAATATATTTATAAAGACATGGTAAGTTACGTGTGTATACATGTATCAGTACCTTACTGTGTTGTGGCCATTAAAGTTGTCAGGGAGCAGAAATAACTGATGAAAATTTCAAATATTAAATGGGACAGCAAAACTAGCTATTAATAATTCCTTACAAGAAATCAGTCGAGGTAGAATTCACGTATATTTAAAAAATAATTATTTAAAGAATAAATCAGAGCAACATAATGAGGCCCAGCATTTTGAAACCTCTTTGCAAAGTATGTCTATTAAGTTAAAACTCTCACAATACATATTTAAATTATACTCAATAGCTGAGACTGACACGTCAGATTTTTTGATACCAACATACACAAATAAGTATGTGGGAGATGACAGCATTTTTGAAGTGGGAAGAGGATTTCATAAGAAATAACTACCCAAAATTCGACAGAAAAATGAGTGACAAGTATAGTGAATGCACATGTGAATGTACCAAAATAACCTATTTTAATAAATGATAGGGATTGCCTGTTTGGGCGAGCATTTATCAGAAAAACTGTGAAAGAAATGGAAGTAAGATATAAACACACAATTCTGATTATTTTCCACACACACAGTTAACAAAAAGGCAATTACACAATGAAGAGTGCATCAGTGAATTTGTCCAGCACAAAAAAAATAAGTATATAAAATCAATAATAATAGACAAAACATGGATTCAATAAGATATGGTATACATTTATTAACAACATATTGACTTTATGCGGCATGTCTAGATGCAGGAAATAATGTTGTACCTCTTGGAATTGGAAAGTGATCTTCGATATGAATCAGTGGCAATTTTAAGTGAAAAATCTAAGACTGTTTTGTGGCCTGAAGTAAGAGAATTCATTAAATTTGACATAACAATTGAGCATTATGTTATAGATTATAGCATCGTTGATCATGAAAAAAATTACTGTCAAATATGACACTGCTGTAAACTGCATTCTCGAAATCAAGCTATTATTGTAGTCGTGTCAATATTGATATTAAAATATACAGTTTTAATTATCCAATAAAATTCAAAACTCTAAACTAGGAACTTAGTCAACTCACCACTTGAAAAGTATCAGAGGCATCTATAATATACCTGCACTCACCTAGTACAGGCTGGATAGTATGACTGCCTGGACAGGCTTAACTCACCAGTAGGACCAAACAGGCCTGTCCCCAATAGCTGGAAAATGATGTGTCACTCGTGTAGCAATCTTTCCAGCCCAACATTCGTGGTTTGTAAATGCGTGGGCATGTCAAATTCTTTGTGGTTATAAGTGAATGTTAGGCTGGTAAATGTGCTGCTGACTTCATCTACGTGTCGTAAATACCTATCAAATGATTTTGAAGAGTATCTAAACAGAAAATGTATAAGACATGAATGTACTGTTCCTAATTGTCCTGCACAAACTGCAGTTGCAGAGAGAATGAATAGAACTATAGTGGAATCAGCTAGAACCATGATTAACTGTGCTGGTCTGCCTCAAAGTTACTGGGGAGAGGCTGTGGTTACAGCAGCTTTTATAAGGAATAGAGTTCCCACCAGAACCTTCAAGGAGGTGTCACTATATGAAAGGTGGTTTGGGAGGAAGCCAGACTTTAGCCCTTTGAAGATATTTGGCTGTGTGGCCTATGCCCACATCCCAGACTGCAAGAGAAACAAACTGGATAAGAAAGCTATGAAAATGAAATTTGTGAGTTACTGTTCAAAGTCTAAAGGTTACAGGTTACTGGACGAGATAACCAAGAAACTCATCAAAAGCAGAGACATGACCTTCAATGAAGATGACTTCAACATATCAAAAGATGAAGAGAAGATATCAATCAAAGCCGAAGTACAAGTAGAGGATGAAGGTGAACAAAACCTTCAAGAAAGAAGCCCCTATCCTGATAGACAGTGGTGACCACCAATTTGATATGGTACTGACGAATTTATTGAGTCTGTAATCAACACGTCTGAAACAGATGTACATGTACCTGAAGATATAGTAGAAGCTCATAGGACTCCAGAATGGAAGGCAGCAGCAGATACTGAATATGGAGCATTACTTGACTATGGTACATGGGATTGGCTCAATTACTAGATGGTCTAAACCTATACAGTGCAAGTTTTTGTTTAAGGTTAAGAATGGGAGTGATGGTGGCATTCAACGTTTTAAAGCAAGATTAGTAGCTCAAGCATATGTTCAAAAGTACGGAATTGACTACAATGAAACGTTTGCCCCTGTAGTAAGATATTCATCCATTCGAACACTCCTACCACTTGTAATGCAGAATGACATGTTGATTTATCGAAAGGATGTCACGACAGCATTATTGAATAGTACTCTAGAAGAGGAGATTTATATGCAGCAGCCAACTGGCAACGTACACCCAGGAAAAGAAAATCTCATTTGTTAAACAACTCCCTTTATTGTCTGAAGCAGTCACCTCGATGTTGGAATAAAGCATTCAAAGAGCACATGAAATCCATCAAACTCACAAAGGATCCATTTATATTTATCAAAACAGGAGGTGTAAATGTGTAATTTATTGTTGCAGTTCATGTCGATGCCCTTATTATTGTTACGAATATTCCACAGAATTTGGCAAATGAAGGAAAAACTAATGCAGAGATTCAAGATGAAGGACCTGGGGAAGCTTTATCATCGTCTTGGAATGGTAATCAATCATGACGAAGAAAAGGAATGTCCGTTGATACATCAGAAGCCATACATAGAGTCTATGCTGAAAAGGTTTGGATTATCAGAGGCTAAGAGTGTATCAACACCAGCTAACCTCTCTGTCAGAATAATGAGTCCAAGAAGCTAGCAGAACCAGCACTCTACCAATCAATAGTAGGAAGTTTACTATACCTTGCTATAGCAATACGGCCTGACATATCTCAAGCAGTAGGAGTAGCATCAGAATATTTTTTGTATCCTAGAAAAACACCTAACTGCTGCTAAGAGGATCCTTCGTTACCTAAAGGAAACGACAAATCTAGCTTTAAAATATGAGTAGCCAGATGATGGAAAACACATATGACAATCGTCACTCTACATTTGGGATTGTATTTACACAGTCTATTGGTGTAGTAAGTTGGTACAGCAAGAAGCAACCAGTAGTGGCATTATCTACTGCTGAAGCAGAGTACATATCTCTAAGTGCTGCAACACAAGAAACCATCTGGCATAAAAGGCTACTGAAAAACCTTAGCTGCTCCACCACCAAGGATCCCACAATAATCACAGAAGACAACCGGGGAGCAATTGCTATTGCCAAAAACCCAGTCTATCATTCACAAACAAAACACGTAGACATTAAATACCATTATATTCGTGAGGCAATACAAGATAAAGCAATTCAATTGGAATACTTTCCCACAAAAGAAATGTTGGCAGACATACTTACAAAACAACTAGCTCGTGAGAAATTTGAGAAACTAAGAAAAAAGATGTGACTACAGGAGTTAATTGAATAACAGCCAACACTATGTAAATTAAGTGGGAGTGTTGAAGGAATGTAATTTACATGTAGTTATTAAAATAGTTAATTTTGTGATAAATATTGTTGTCTATTTCATCTGATTTTTGAGCAACTTAAGTTATAAGATCTAGTGTATTGTATTGTGCAATGAGTTATTCATGATAAACTGTTAAGTTGTTTATTGGTGATGATATCCTGCTAACACATAGACACTGATGAGTTGGTATTAAATTTGAGTGAAATTGTATGTGATGTTAATGAGTGTGAATGTTTAACTAAGAGAAGAATGGTAAGTGTTGTGAGTAGGATCTTTGATTTCATTGGTATTGCCTCCCCAGTCACTATTCAAGCGAAGTTATTCTTACAAGAATTGCATTAAGCCAATATAAAGTGCGATGGTGTCATCAGGGGAGTGCTTCTTAAGAGATATTTAAAGTTTTGAGTGTTTTACGTGAGAGTGAGACTGTTAGAGTACCTAGATGGTATAAGAGAGACTTTCATGAGAATTTGAATGTGAGTTACAGATTGTGTGGTTTTAGCGATACATCAAGCAAGACGTATGCTGCTGTCATTTATCTTCAGCAGGCGTATAATGGCAAAAAGAGAGCTATCTTGATAGCATCTACGAGCCAAATTGTGCCTATGAATCGCTTATCTATTGTATGTTTAGAGTTCCTGGGAGCATTGCTGTCTTCAATGCTTATCCACAGTGTTGAGAAGGCTTTGAAGACAGACATAAATCTACTTTCTACTATCTGCTATTCTGATTCAGAGGTGATGCTTAACTGGGTTAGGGGAGAGAACCGAGACGGGAAGCCTTTTGCACAGAATCGAGTCAGGGAAATTAGATCTCTTCTTCCAGCAGCACGTTGGAGGCATTGTCCTGGTCAAAAGAATCCTGTGGATTTCCCAACAAGAAGTGTCTCTGTAAAGGAGCTCAAGAAAACCTGGTGGTTCCGTGGTCCTCCATGGATAGGTAAAGATTTGATAGAAGATCCATCAGGGGAGATGCCATCAGAATGATTGCAAGAGCTGGGTGTTCATGAAATGCGTAACGTAATGTGTAGCGTAACGTGTAACGAAAAGTGTAGCAATACATGTAGTTTATTGGTACATGAATATAAGCTTCAGCATTTAACAGTTTTGAATAATTAACGTTCATTGGAAAAGCTTTGCAGAGTGACAAAATTTGTCTTGAGATTTATTGATAGCATTGAAAGGAGTAATATTGGGCATAATTTGGAGAACTACAGTTTGAGAGCAGAACATAAGTGGGTTGTTGAGTGTCAGAAGAAATAATAATTATTATTATTATTATTATTATTATTAATAAACTTTACAGCACGGAATAAAAAGTGTAAATCAGATGGCAATGCAATTTGTGAGCTGAAGGAAACCCAGTAAATACACAGGGCCCTGAATTGATTGCTAATCATAAATTTATGGAATGGAAGTATCAATTCCAATTGTTTGAAGATTCTCGTGGTAAATGGAAATGTGGGGGGATGCTCCATAATGTGAATTTATTTTATAAAACCTTGCATCCTATTTTATTGCTCAGTACACATCATTTTACTCAACTTGTTGTACATAGGGCCCATAATTGAGTTTTTCACAATAAGATTAATTAGATATTAACAGAATTGAGGACTAGATATTGGGCTATTAAGAGCAGAGCAGTAGTAAAGCAATTTATAAAGCATTGTGTTATTTGTAGAAAAGCAGAAAGAGGGACATACAGTGTGCCTGTACCTCCACCACTTCCAAGCTTTCGAGTAAGGAGAGAAACTCCATTTGCATGCATACACAGGAGTGGATTTCACTGGGCCACTTTATATAAGAGATAGAGTGAAGTCTGAGAGTGAAGTGTGAATTTGCCTGTTCACATTTGTCACAAGAGCCATTCATGTTGATATATAATTTATCTGTTCATTGTTTTCTCAGTTGTTTTCATAGGTTTGTGGCTAGACTAGGTTTTCCCACTAAAATCATATCAAATAGTGCTAAGACAATTAATGGAGCTGCTGTAATTCTGCCAAAGATACTGAGGCATCCTGATGTCTTTCGATGTTTCTCTGATCACTTGGGCCTTTAATCTGGCTAAAGCTCCATGGTGGGTAGGAATATTCAAACGCCTCATTCAATCTGTGAAACGGTGTTT